TCATCAGGTTGGATGAAACACACTGTAGTGGCAACCTTTGTGGTATATCAAAAGTATACTATATATATATATATATATATATATATATATATATATATATATATATATATATATATATATATATATATATATATATATATATATATATATAATATTGTATCTGAACATTAAAAAATGTATTAGAATGATATAGTGTACTTGCATTCATGTGTTCATATTTCATACTCCATTGTGGTAATCAATGAAACAGTTCCTTTGGCCTGTAAGGCAAAGACAGACCTTGCATTTGCTGCAGTGGACCCTTGAGTAGCCGGTTTTGCACATGCGACACCGTCCTTTGTCCTTGTAAACTGGCCAATGACCAAACTGGTCGGTTCGGATAGCATTATTAGGGCTGGGTGTGATCGGTTTCCTGCCCAGCTTTGAATTGCATACTATCTCGACACTTTTTCTTTTTGGTGGTCTTCCAGGCTTGCCAATGGTGCCATCCGAAGAGGCACCTTTATTCACTAAAACTAGTGAATCAGCCAACTCGAGGGAAAATTTCAGGAGGGATTTCTCATTCTTCTTTGGAATGCCTTGCTCAGCACAATGACGACGGTAGAAGACCCATGCATACATACCCGTACATAAATCCCGATAAACCAGCACGAACCAAATTCTTGAAACCCCACTTCACCGGCTTCTTTGGATTGTACTGCCGAATCTTGCTATACTTTGTTTTGGAAGGAATTATCTGTTCGTCTACAGAATGGTTCTCCTCTGGTTGGACCTTTCTACAATTTGCTGCAACCTTCTCAACGATACACCGAACTTTGAACAACTTGTCCGCAGTATGCTCATCATAGGTCATGTTGTCAACGAAATGTAAGAATCGTCGCAGCTTTTCATACCTTTTTCTTGGCATTATGTCTGCTATTGATGGGTACCGCAACTCATTTGACTAATAGTGGGTATATGATGGCAGGTTAACAACTCCCATTTTCATCTGCATTCCAATGAATTGCTCAATTTCACTCGGTGTAGTGTTAACTCGGTGTCGTGTTAAGACACTAACTCCACTTTTCTGAACGCTGTAGTTATTTGTTTGCTCGACAACTAAGTTTGTAAGCTCTTCTGTCCAAAATAGTTTGAAATAGTCCAATGCTGACAACTCCTCGACTCGATCTTCCTTTTCCCATTCAAAGTTCACGTTTTGAAAGGGAATGTCCGTTTTCCTCCAACGAAACACATGCCGTTGCTCTCCACAGGCGTCACCTTCCTCATTGCTGCCATCACTCTCCTCTTCTTCACCACTGCTCTCGTCCTCTAAGACACATCCTCGCTCTTCTGGTTGGTACGTCTCATCAACATCATCCTCATCTGAACTCAACTCAGACAACTCTGAATCATTGCCACTGGTAACCAACGACAGCGCATCAACAACATCAAACTTATCACAAGTCGACATTGTATTTTCTTTCCTATCAGATGCAATTAGAAAATGTAAATTAAAATAAGGTCAGAGCATGTTTTTTAATATCCCTGTGTCAGTTGCATGTGTTTATGCTGCCAATATATATGCCTTAGGGATTTCAAATTATTAGAGAGCAACATATAACAACAGATGACTTGATATGCCTCAGAGTCAGAATCAGAAAATATAAAATTGTTAATTTTGTGTTAAAAAATATAAAATTTGTAATGTTTCAGGAAGAGAATATTCAATCTATTCAATTTTTGTGGGTTACACCACAAATACTCAATCTGTTTACACCTCTAGAGTGTATAAATGTATTTCAGAATGATTGATGCCTTTTTACCATTACTTGGCAATGTTGCCATATGGCAACAAATACATATTTTAGCTATTGATCATCGATAAATATCATTCATGCTCCCAAAATTGTTGGTCGAAATCTGTATGTTATACCTTTCAAAATTATTCAGAAACAAGACTAATGAAAACTTATTGAACTCAAGAGTAATTAAATCAAAATCACATACCTTACTTAGCGAAAATCACTCGAAAATTGCCTCTGCTTCTCACGACCACATGTATTTACCCCAAACATGTGGCAGCCATTTTGAGTAACACAGATTCGGCTTGCATTGTGTTATGGGATATATTCATTTAGTCGCATAACAACAGCAGCAGACAACAATTTGCATTTGTTGCCATATGGCAACTGCGCCAAATAAAGGGTTTAAAAGGATTCGCCTGGCCGCGAGTTCCATTCCTGCCGGAGGGTCTGTTCTTACATTTTTCGTAGCTGCTCCTAGCTGGTTGGGTACTGTATTGAAATCACACTCGAAATTTTATTACCTCGCAAAACTTTGCAATCATGCACGACCTTAGGATCTTTGACTTCAATTATTTTTTGCCCCCAGGATAACTATTTTTGATTAACTAACACAATAGACATTTAGTGGACTTGCATTTGCGCATTGAAGTTTTTACAGTATTTTCTATTTTTCTTAAGCTCGTCACTGAAATGACTTTTTGATTTTATTAGATATTCGTGGGATGAACAGTCAAGTTGTTTTTGCGACGAATTCTGGCATAATTATCATCGGTGGAGGTTTATGTAAACATCATATTTGTAATGCCAACATGATGGTAAGGACGTTGTGCTGCAGTAAAAACCTAAAGCATAAAAGAACGAGTGTAGATTAAGAAACTTTAGCCCGAAATTTATGCTACTAAACACCTATTTCTGGGTGGTATAATTCCTTAGCCACAAAAATGAAAGATTGCCTTAACGGAAATAATTCAAGAAGGCGGGTGAAAAGACAACTATTTTGAAACTGTTAGGAACTCGCACATTATGCCGGAATTTCGTTTAGAATAATAAGGGAATTTTGAAACAAGGAATAATAGGCAAAAGCGGGAATATTAGGCAAAAGTATGACGTCATTGTATCAACTTATATAATTAGCATATTCGCCATCCGTCCGCGGGCCTGAAGCGCGGCATGCAAGAATTTTTTCCCATTTTTTCCTGGTGCTGGTTGGACTTGATGTAGAATAATTGTGGGAATAATAGAATAAAGTCAAGGGAATTAAAGAATAGAATATTGGGCAAATTTTCCAGCGCTCAATTATTAGGCGTAAAGTGTGTATGCTTGTTTCTTGTCAGTAGTCTCCCTCCCAATAATTTCTCTGACTAGAGTTTTTAGGAACAGTAATTTTACAATGATGAAAGCATGGGTGGGCTATATTAAACAAAAATACATAAAATGTGAGTTTTTCCTATTGCTGTGATTTGCAACAAAAAAGCCTGGTTCACACTAGCAATTTTGTCGGCGATTTTCTCCTCCTGACAAATGCGAATGAGTTAACTTGCAGCCAAAAGTATGGAATCACGATTTGGTCCTATACATTTCTAGGTCTTTTGCACGTCACTCATTAAGTCACATCGGTCAGGAGAAGAAAAATCGTCGACGAAACTGCTAGTGTGAACCAGGCTTTCAGAGTTAAGGGGCTAATATGGTAGCAACTAAATTTCCATAGTGCCCGTATAGCCCATCACCCATGCATGACAAATCGTTAAATTTTGGTTCAAATTTGATCAAAATTGAATTTGGAAAAGTTTAATCGTTTTGCCTGTGGAGGCTTATAAAATAACTTGATGAGTAATCAGTGCTTGTGTGATTTATGCATGTATACTAGCGAAGGTATACAGTCTTTAGGGGGAGTGATTTCTATTTTATTTGTAATGTCAAAATTGGGCATTCAAGTTTTTAGCTTGCTATTTTTTGTCCTGTATTTTAGCGTAACGGTGCGGACTTTTCCGTGTTCTTAAATACTGCACAAGAGTTTGATGGCAGCGACTCAGGAGCTCGACCTGATGAAGCTGTCTCGTGGGGGAAAATTAAACCAACTGCGACTCCAGTAAAGGTATGCACGGTTACATTGTTTAGGGGGTGATACCAGTATAATGTCTTATTAACCGAACGCGAGGTCTGTACAGAGAAATATCGGACCGAGGTCTTTTAGTACAGACCGAGCCCGTAGGGCGAGGTTTGTACAAAAAGACCGAGGTCCGATATTTCTCTGTACATACCGAGCAAGCGGGGTTAACAAAAAGTTTATTATTTAACAAATATAAAACTTTTCCGTATTGATATACAGTTATATCAACACGAGTGGAAATTGGGAACGACAAGTTGTGTGGAAACACGACGCCCGAAGGGCGGAGTGTTTTCACACAATTTCGAGTTTTCACAATTTCCACGAGTGTTGATATAACTATATATCAATACAGAAAGAAATATAAAGAAAGAAATTTTCCGACGTTTCCGTGTTGACATTGAGTTATATCAACACGGCTCTTAGCCAATCAGCGTTCAGAATTTACAAATGCTATATTATAAATGGCATTTATAGGCATTTATACCAGAGTCCTGAAACAAACAAGAAATGCACGATTTGAAACGCATATTAGCAGCGTGGTACACATTTGATCGAAGAAAACAAAAAATACCAATGTATTCCTTCTTTTCCACTAAAAACCATTCGCAGATATCTTAATAACAAATTAAAAATTATAATTTTCAAATTTTCAATTAGTTTTGTTGTTTTGTTTTAAAATGCATGCGTTTGTTTTTACGTAATGGACCGCAATTTGTCCATTTATACGGGGAAATAATGGACAGTTGAAAGTGCTTCTCAGCCAATCACCGTCCGCCATTTCACCGGAAATGATGCTTGCCATATAATAAGGTGTGAGTAAACATCGAGATTTTAGGACATCTCGCTCGATAGAACTAACAGTTGAAGGGTTTTTGTTGATAGACATTTTCAGTGCAATTATGGCATGCTAACCTTGTCTCAGGATATTAGCCAGGAGAAAAAATCTTCAATTTAATGAAATTGAAGATGCAGCAATAAATGCAGTAATAAATTTACGTGGTGTTTCCACAAACAATAGTATTATATGTTTTATCGCCATGCAGGCCTTAAAATATCGGTTGGTCACGGACATTGTCCAACCCATTCGTGAAATTGTCCGACGTAGAAAGGAAACCACCGGACATTCTGTCCGACCAAAGTGAAACTGAGGTTTATTGTTTGTCCGACCCGAGTGTATTGGTGTCCGACCGAACTGTAGCTTTGTCCAACGTAAATCAAAATGTACCCTAGCCCAGGACTAGAGGCTTGTATATGTTAAATGGAAAATCAGAGTACTATTGTATGAAAGGTCAACTGGAAATGTTGTTTTAACATGGTCGAGCGCGGGGCGGCGAGCGAAATGGTGAAGTGGAAAACAGGCTTAAGTTACCGAAGTCTTTTTTAATACTGCTGTTCTGGAAAGCAAGTTAATTTTGGTTTGGAAATAAGTATGAAAGAAACAAATTATGTAATATGTTTACAACATTTACCGTTTATTCATTTGTGTCATTCAGACTTATTTCGATATTCCGAGTCAAAACTGAACTGAAGGTCATCGGACATATGTCCGACCCAAACTCAACGTCACCGGACATTTTGTCAGACGGCCCTGTAGAAGATATTTTAAGGCCTGTCGCCATGCAAACCTACAAAGAACTTATTAATGAAATTGGCAGATTTAGTCAGTCCCCGACGTCAGTTACAAAATATCTTGTATTGGGCAACATTTCTTAACTCTGGTCCGAGTTTCACGTATCTGAAATGACATTCTCGTGGCCTAGCGAACGGCGCTTATTTGCTGAGCTAAATTGAAACCTTTGAAGTACAAGGAAACTAGACATAACAGACAAATACATGTATATTGGGAAATTGCCAGCTAAATGTAAAATTAATGGGAAAACGGCGTACGACGTCAATTTTTTATTTTAGCTAACACCCTCGTACAGTGCGAAGGGCAGTATAACTATTATATATTGAAAAGAATTGAGTTTTAAAACTGTTTTGTAGCCAATAGAATTTTAAGGCCCAATTATTTTTTTTTCATTTTAGGTGTACGCTGAGGCGACATTAGTATTTCCGTTATTGGTCGCAGAGACTTTCGTCAAGAACTATGATAATAAGAAGAAAGATTTAGAAACCAGGAGTTGTAAACAATAAAATTCACACGTCATGCAAAATACAAGTTAACCTGCCAAGTGAGATGTATTATTTAAAGAGATATAATAATTTAGTTTGTCTCATGTGGAAGAACTTTTAATATTATGGGGAGAACCTTTTTACAGCTTCTTCAAATGTTGTTTAGTTCTCGAAATATTTTGACCGAAATTCACTATAAACCCGTGAGAAGACCGCCATCTTTGATTATTGTGGCTGTTGTGATGTAACGATATTTAGCCTCGAAAAGTACTCGATTTAGTACAAAAACAGTGAAAATAAACTTTAATACGAAATTCCTGCACGAGTTTACTGTTTACTTAGCGTTCTTGTCTATAGTACACTGATCTTAATAATCCACTGATTGTCTGCGCGCGCGTGTCCCGCGTTTTGCGTGTAAAAGTCATATCTCTTCTAAACATTCCCCCTCCCCGCACTGCTGAACATGCAATTGCAGTGCGATTTAACTATTTTAACTCCTTTCTAGTCCATAATATCAATGTTCAAGTTTAAGGTCCCGAGTCCTTTCAAGAAACTATACTCTTAGTGGGACAAGTTTGTGAATGGGTCTGACCAATGACTTGTTTCCCAGCAGCACCTTTGCCACTCTGCTATGTCCGTCTTTCCCTGAATATGTTGCTATGATTCGTCCCAATGGCCATTTTTCTCTCGGTAAGTCTTTATCTAAGACCAGAACAACGTCACCATCTTTCAAATCTTTTACCACGTTCGTCCACTTCGGTCGTGTGTTCAATGTTGGTAAATATTCCTTCAACCAGCGGTCCCATACTCGTGACAGAATTGCTTGTACCTTACGCCATCTTTCACGAGGTTAGCGTCCATGTCGATCACCTCTGGTGCCAATTCCCTATCTTCTGCAGTATGAACCATCGAATTCATGTTCTCTGTACCATAGCTTTCAACTTCCCAGAATCTTTTGACCTGTTCATCGATCTGGCAGCAGGATGTAATTTTTGCAGTACTCATGGACAAGAATGTTCTAATGGTGTGCGTTCTACAGTCCGTTCCTCGTTGTTTCTCTGTGGCTCCAATGCAACTCCATCCTAGTGGTCCGAGTCGGGCTATTGGGCTTCCTGGTTCCCCCCGAACATCTGCTCTTGAATACAGTAAATCTGCGTTGTCCACTCCAATCAATAAGTCCACTAAACCTTCCTTTGCTGGTGTTGCAAAATCACAACTCTGAAGATATGGCCAGTTGGTTTATTCTTTGACCAATCCTCTACTTTGTAGCTTCCCGTTACGTTCTGAGGGCACGTTTTGACACCAATATCCTTGCGATACTGTCCGTTAACACTTTCAATCATAACCTCCACGGGCATGGACTGGAACGTTTCAACCTCATTGTTTAACACATGAACTTTAACTGTCTTGTACGGCTCGTGAAGTCCTAACACCCCAGCAACTTGTTCATTTAGAAATGTTTCATTGGAAGCATCATCCAGAATAGCGTTGACTTTAACTTTCCGACCATTTGCCTTTAACCATACTGGAATGGTACGAAGCGACAAAACTTCAGCAGTTGACACACTCTTATTTCTTGAAGTGTGTGTTCGTGTCTCTGCCCCCTCCCGTGTCAACGCTGACTTCTCGCCTTCTTCCTTCTCCTTCGGTACAACTTCATGTAACAAGTTGTGATGGCTTCTTTTGCACCCTTGCACTGCGCATGGCTTTGACCTGGTGCAGTCCTTACCGACATGATTACTTACAAGACATCGAAAACATAAATGTTTTTCCTTTGCGACTCCCCAACGATCTGGCACACTCAAGCCAGAAAATACCTTACAGGACCAAACCCCATGATTGCCACCACATACTGCGCAAGGTGGCTTTGAATACGGGCTGCGTGTATCGTCGTTGCTGTGTTTTCCATCTCGATTAGTGAACCAGGTTCGAGGTCGATAACTTCTTTCAGTTGGCTTGGGTCTTCCTCTGTCATACTCTCTAGTCTGCTTAGGTTCAACTCCTTGGGCCATTTCTGTAGCCTCAACTTGGATGATTACTTCTTCCTATAGCCAGTCTCTCAACGCTTTCACTGACCGTATCTTATGTTGTTCACTAAGCCATCGACTGTAATTTTCTACTTGTCGTTCCGATAGTTTCTTTACCAGCAGGCTATGCAATGCACCATCTCCCAGTTCCCCACTGCGCCCCTCAGCTTCCAACTTCACTACGGTTACCCGCACAAGATCAGCAAACCTTTCGAAAGACTGAATGTCATTGTTCTTCATAGTTGGCATATTTTCTAACTGATCGAGGTAAGCTTGCAACTGACGACGTTGTCCACCAAACTTAGATTTTAATATGTCCTTAGCCTCATTATACTCTGGCGCCGTAACACCCAGTCCACGAATTGCATCAAGGGCATTTCCTGAAAGACTTTGACGTAGTCGAGCCATTTTAATATTTACAGGCTCACTCCCTTCATCAACTAGGCTGATGAATAATGCCCAAAAATCCTCAAATCTAGTTTTATCACCATAATAGACTGGAACTGTTAGTGGTTTAAGACGATGATGGGTTATACCAGTGAAATTGCTTGCAAAACTCGGAGGGCTTGCTTGGGTTGTCGTAGGGTCCGGACTAACATTAGCTGTGGTTGTACTGGTAGTGGGATTGCTTGTTGAACTCGGTGGGCCTTCTGTGTCCACAACCGGTGCTGGACTATCATTGACTGTGGTTGTTCCAGTTGGATTGCTTTCAGAACTAGGTGGGCTTGCTTCAACTGTGGGCGCCGGGCTTACATTGACTACTTCTGATACATCTCCTTGTTCAGAAATACTTGATAAGTATTCTTTGATTACTTGTTGTGCTTTCTCCACAGTCTGGTGTCCATCTGATTCAAAGTTTTCCTGTTCTTTTAGAATATCTTCCTTAGCTTCAGCTTGGTTGGATTTGATATAAGTTGAACACAATTCATCCATCACAGATAAGCCTGTTTCCAATTCATCCCACAAAGCCTCAATTTCAGCTTCGATTTCACCACGATTTAATTTACTCTTCTGAGCACACAATTTTTCTAAGTTATGTCTAATTTTTGTCACATTTGTTTTTCTTGCTCGTTTTTCTCGCTTTAATGCAAGCACTGTTTCTTCCAGTTCAAAATCATTCTTGGATACACTTGGTTCATCTGTCTCATTAGTTAACGGCATTATGTCCCTTAGCAAATAAGCTTTGTTCACTGTTTTTGCTTTATTTTTGTTCCAAAGTTATATTTAAGAAATTAATAACTTCGCCATAAAGTTCCACAAATATATCAGCAAATCAGAATCAATAACTTTAGTTTGTACTTACGCGTCCATTAAAATTACTGTTTATCCCCTGCTTTCCTGGCTATCCCCAAACATCAAGTACGTGCACAGTATATTTAATACTTTATTAATATAAACTGCCGTCTAATTCCAAATACCCCGTAAACTTGCTATAATTCGATGTAAATATATCGTAGAAACACCCAATAAAGTTTAAAACAAAGCCGAGTTTACCACAAATTTATAAAACGTCCCCGAATATTGTTGCAATACCGATACAACTACGAATAAACGCTGTAAATACGCCAAAAGTCCTCGAGCACGATGTTGTGAAATTTTCCCCGATTTTAACCACAAAATTCACTTTAAAAACCCCCCAAATTCCTCGAATTGTCCTGACAGGATCGCCAAATGTTGCGATGTAACGATATTTAGCCTCGAAAAGTACTCGATTTAGTAAAAAAAAACAGTGAAAATAAACTTTAATACGAAATTCCTACACGAGTTTACTGTTTACTTAGCGTTCTTGTCTATAGTACACTGATCTCAATAATCCACTGATTGTCTGCGCGCGCGTGTCCCGCGTTTTGCGTGTAAAAGTCATATATCTTCTAAACAGTGGCTATGCATGTTACGTCACAAGTAGGGTCACGCAAATATTTTTCGATATGTATAATGGTCATTGTGAGCCCAACATTATACTTCGGTCACTACTTCAAATAACAAATTGACTCACAGAGTTTAAGCATCTACTAATTGTTATTTGGTCACCTGGGAGTAGTTTTATATGGCTAGCCCTGCTTTTGACGTCACCAAAACCCCGTTAGTGAAGTGAAATGATTAAATATATTAAAACTGGAATGCCTATACCTCCAACCAGAAATTTCAAGCCAAAGTTACAGTCTTTCCACGCATGCGAAGAGCACGGTCAATCCGTCAACATGAATATATGTATTCTTGAAAATCGGCTTAAAATTAAAAAAAAACAGCTGTGATAATAGCGGCAGTTTTTCATCACGTCCGCGTCGTAGATTTGGAGCGAGCTTAAGATGCACCAAATCTACGACGCGCGGACGTGAAGAAAATCTGTAACTATTCCCACAGTTTCACTACACGGATAAAAGGTATGGCCCCAGTTGGTAAACAAAGTCAGAGACACAAGTGAAGCTAAATAAAACTGCATTCCAAACATTAGAAACGGTTTTTATGTCACGTCCGCGTCGTTTGATTTGGTGCATCTTAAGCTCGCTATTAAGGAGCTTTAGATTTGACTACGAGTACGAGTACGAGATTTGATCGCGTGCGAGGAAATTACCGTAGTCGTTCTCGTTTCCGTTCAAATGTTGCTTTTATAGCAGTAAAGCAGCAACGAGAGAAAAAGTTTCATAAACTAAATCTCCTGCAGACTAAAATCCCCTACAAAACGTGTAAAATAAGTCATAACATTAAAAACAGGCCAGATATTAAGTACTAATATATTATTTGCGCCGGATAAACGCTATATAAATGCTACAAATTATTTTTGGAAAACAAAAAAAGCCAACTTTCTTTGTTTTTTTTGAAAAGTCGTCGGGAGGACTACGAGATTTCTCCACAATTTCGTACTCAGATGGGCGACGGCTACGACATTTTCGCGTCAGTACGGGATGGCGTAAGCATACAGCATGCGTTTCGCTTGATGAATCTCGTACTCGTAGTCAAATCTAAAGCTCCCTAATGACGATTTAGGTACGGCAGAAGAACGACGTATGAATCAATTGCTATAATTCGATATTTGAAAAAAAAAAATGAAAACACCTATGCTGTGGGTCTTTCGTGGGGTGGTTTGGGGGGGGGGGGAGGTCTGTGTTCCGGGAAAGTTTTCCGTTGTTACTGACGAAGGTTTCACCGCGTTCTCTTGTTCCCCAAGCTTACATATTCCCTATTGATTGTTTTGCTTTCCTCCCTTTTTCCCATTGTTCACTGGAAACCGTGAATCGTGATGGATTATAATGTCAAAATGGATTAGGAAAAGACGAATCAAGGTGTACTAATGAGTTTGTTTTATAAGTTGCATGATGTAATAGGCAACTCCAGCTTTTAGTTTATGCGTGCAGGGGACGATGGGAAGTAAGGTATCACATTGCTGATTATGCTGAAAAAATAAAAATGGTGGCCGTGTAAACACGGACTGATTGCTTATGCTTGTAAATATTGAAATGTTTCGGTAGTTTTTATTGAAATTTTTCAGCATAATCGGCAATAGGATACCTTACTTCCCATCATCCCCTGCAGGCATAAACTAAAAGCTGGAATTGCCTATTGTCGTTTAAAAAAGATTAAACCCGCAAAAGGCTGCGGTGTGAAGGATATTTAGCTACCTGAAAAATATAAGCAGAACTTCGACGTTTCGAACGAAAGCCTTTCCGGGCTTAATTTCCATTCCGGGTTTCAATGATTCCGGCTTTTTCCGTTTTAAAGATTCGGGCATTTTCCGTTCCGGGTTTTGAAGATTCCGGGCTTTTCAGTGTTGTGGGTTTTTAAAAAAGATTCCATTTCACGGAATCTTGAACACAGTCATCATTCAGCAGGGCTCTCTGTTTTAAGGAAATCTCCTTAAACTGAGGAAATTATCAGTGTTTAAAGGAGACTTTTAAGGAAATAGAATTTTTATGGAATTTCTAAGGAATTTGTAGTTTTTATCTAATGTTTGAAAATATTTAAATAATATTTTAAAAATCAGTCAATTTGGCTGTTATTTATGCATAAAATACTTTTTAAAAGCGCAGGAAATGTAGTCTTACGCATTCGGGACTGCAACAGTTTTTCGAAGGAAGATATTCCTTGACCAACAATGTGAAATCCCTTTTGATGATACTGCTCAAAATCCCAATTCCCAAATGAGACAAAAATTCTGGGAACCTAACTTTGTAATTCTCAATCATTCAGACCATGAATTACCAAAAAACATGCCTGCCCCTTAAAGGACATTTGCAACCAAAATTTTTATTACTTATATCTATTAGGTATACTTACGGAATATTTAATTTCATATTTTGGCCGGTTTGTCGCGTTTTGTTGCTGAGAAAATTTGATTGAATTTGAGAAAATTTGAACAGTTGTCCGCCATTTTGAAAATAAGCGCGTATGCTAATTTATGCCACAAAATACATTATCTGACGTCATTGGCTGCGTAAACACGATCTCATGACTATAAACAATACCGTGTATTACCACGCGTAGTGCATTTTGAGCCAAAACAAAAGGCAGAAAAGTTTTACCAAGTATGTAACTTGTTTGTAACACTATTTCTCATAGTATATATCCTACTCCGTGTTAAATAAGCGCAGAAATTCGAGTGTAACAAGGCAAATACTAATGCAATATTTTATGACCAATTACCTGCATTGTAAATTGCGCCATTTCTTGCTTTCCCAGTCGCTTGATATGTTTTTATCTGATAGTGTAGATATTGTCTTGTTTGATTGCGAGGAGTATTCGCCAGTATAACGCTCAAAACGGCATATTTTTAGCCAACATAACACGCACGCAATAGAATTCTCTCTTGTAGTTTTGGTGCTACCCAGCCAATGACGTCACAAAGTTCATTGACCTTCGAGATAATTTTTCAAAACTATTTTCCAAGATGGCGGCGAAACTGGCCGAAACACAAAGTTTGCATGCATTTTACTCGTAGACTAAAATGTTCAAGAAGGAAATGATAATATTTTCATAGTTCGGTTGTCAAGTAGGATTGAAATAGCCAATAAAAATTTCCGTTGCCAATGTCCTTTAAGGAAATTTTACTAAATCTGAGGATTTTTTACCGAGAATCTAAGGAATTCCAGGCAATGGGAAATGAGAGCACCAATCTCGTTCAGTGCTCTCACTTTTAAGGAATTATCCTTAAAAATAGGAATTTTGAGGTTTTAAGGATTTTTTTAAGGAATTTTGGTTTTTGAGGATTTTTTTAAGGAAACATTATATCCTGGACTAAAAACGTTGGACGGAGGATAACCACGCCACGTAAATGAGATTTAAACTTGAAAGTAGCAACAATATACACACATAATTACATATATTTGTATGTTCTCTATGTCGATCATAAATGTACATATGGCTGTCTTTCCATTAAAATTCTCAAAAGTTAAATGTCAGTATACGCTGTTTCTTCTGAGTTCTGAAATCTACAGATTTTCTAAGCTCTTCATGCAGCTGAAAAATTGAAAAACAGCAAGAAAAAGGAGATAAAAACACTTTTTGCAACTATGTGATTAGGCCTCTAATCAGGCCTTGTAGTAATTTTACCAATTTAAGGAAATCAGAGGAATTTTCGAGCTTTTTCTAAGGAATTCGAAAATTTGATTGTGAGAGCACCGGATCTCGTTCCCAGAGTATGCCTGTTCGCGGGTTATGTAGTGGTACCATTTCAATGAGTGGTACATAACCCGCGAACAGGCATACTCTGGCCTCTGGGAACGAGATTGTGAGATTCACATTTCACAATAAATATCTTCTGGCTTAATTTTTAAGATTATTTAAAAGCCTTCGCGTGCTCTTCTCAAATATCTCAACTTGCAGCTGTTTTATAGTTTCGCGGTAATTTTGTGGGAATGTCTTTTGAGAAATCTGCTGAGGCAAGTGCAGCAGTCGAGCGCCTGAAACACAGATATTCTAACATTACAGAGGACGGAGTAAGTCGTGGTTTGAGGTTTAAACCTCGCTCAGACGACGTGTTCGTCGTGAGTTCACCTAAATGCGGCACAACATGGATGCAACAGATTCTACATCAGTTACGTAGTGGTGGAGATATGTCATTTGATAGCATTAGCGACGTGGTCCCTTTTATCGAATTTGCTTATGACACCGAAATAGATCTCGAGGCTGAGCACAACTATCAACCACGGTAAGATTCACCACTGTGAAGCTAGCCTCGGATTGAGCCTCACATTCCACCTTGGATTGAGCCTCGCATTCAACTGTATCCAATCATTCAAAAGTAGATTACTTAAAACCTTTTCCCAGCTATTTTTAAGGTAATTTTTGTTACTACAGGGCCGTAGGAAGCTCTTTTCGATTGGGGGGCTGAAAGCGAGGGCCGAAGGCCCGAGGAAATTTTTAAATTTAGAGTCTCTAAAATGCCATTTCCTGGACTTTGGGGGAAGATTTAACAGAATTCTGATAGTCAGAAAACAGCGTTTTAGTATGTCGAAATTTACAGGAAAGTATGGGCCAGACTGTAGTATTATAAATGCGCGGCGGGAATTTTCGTCGTAAATGGCAGTTGCGCGGAAATGAAGGCAGAACATTTGAGAAAATTTCGAAAATCTGGAGTCTCTAGATGGTCTGAAATGGCATTTTCAGAGTTTTCTTTCGCAAGACCCAACACGCAAAAGACAAAATAAATCATTAGTTCATCAAAATGTGCAGATTTTGTGGGATTTTCTTGAAAATGCGCGACAGAAATTCAGCTAAAATTTCTACGCGAGGAACGATCTGGAGTATGAGTAATATCTTCATTCTTTGCAGTTTGTCACAGATTAAATGATAAAGTTTGCATGATTTTGAAAAAAGAATGATTATTAGCAAATTATTGGGGGGGCTGCACCCCCCCAGCCCCGGCCCTGTACTAATCAGCAGTAACAACATATCTATCCATTGCTGGGGGGAAACTAGGAAAACAAATCTATGTGTGGGAGAAATTTTTATATACTGTAGATATTTAGCATAGACAAAAGAGTCTGGGAACAAGGTTGTATTGTAAAAACTGGGCTGGACTTTCTGCTGGATTCGGAATTGGCCCTGGACTTTTTTACTGTAAGATTTTGAATTTGCTAATTTGCTATAAATATAGTTAAAAACAACAAGAACGAGCCAACGCCTTTTTTAACTCTATCACTGGAGGAATTCAAAGCCCCCAGCCCCCATGGTGGCCCCTCCACTCAACCATCCTCCCCCCCCCCGCCCTCTAGTCAAAGTCCCTTTTCACTAAAATATATCAAAATGGAATTCAGAAGGGAGGTTGATATTCTAGTAACTGAAATTTGCTTTGTGAATCTTATGTCATGTCTCTTATCTTCAAATTATTCAATGTCTTTTTTAAAATGCTAAACATTGTGTTGTAAATACATTTTAAAAATTTCCCAGTGGATAGCCCCTATTCCAGACCCCATAGATTTGAGTTGTTGGAAGGCTAGGCTGAGCAATTAATAGTTGGTAATCGAGTTGTGGTATTTACATAAACATACGATGCAAGTACTTAATTTACTGGAGATTCAATCTATCGACAGTATAATGTATCGCTGTATCCAAAAATCTGTTTCAGAAAACGCACGAAATGCGGCTCTAGGTGTGGGAAAAAACGAAAATTTTATGGGGGAGTATTCCCGCAGATCCCCTACTATTACATACGGTACCACACCAAACTTTGTGTCATGCCAACAAGTTAACAACCATCTTTCATCTCTCCACACTCAGTATAGTATAGTATGGTCCCTTTTTGTGGATGCCCCGCCCCACGGACGAATTCTTAAAAAAGATCCTGGCGTAATGTACTTTGATTCCCTTTAATTTGAACTTTATTTACAAATTTACAATGCTTGATACTTCGATATATAAATCGTATAAAATCGTGTTCGTTCGTTCGACTCGCTCGTTTCGATAACAACAACAACACTCGTGTTCATCGGTCACGTGATTTTTTCCAACTAAATTCAACCAGTAACAATAGCATGCAAACCTATTACTTAATATAATATTCTGCATATAATTATAACCTAACTCTATAACTCAAAATTAATTAATAAGTTAGCCAAATATGTGCTTGTTGCGGTAGACTGCGAGCGGTCCCTCCTTTCCGCGGGTTTATATTTCTGGGCTCTGGGCATGCGAAAGAAAAGCAGGGACTGCCGACAACATATCAAGAAACGAAATACGCGTTGCCCACACAACGCAAAATTACCATTGGTCGAAATCGATACGCCTGTCAATCAAATCTGATACGTAGTAATTATGCTATAAATAATTTCCAGACTAAATGTTGATTTTATAAATAAACATGACATTAACGGTTCCTATTGGATACATTTAATTGGATATAAGTAATGTATGGCATGTGCTAAAACCTGGACGATGGACTGGACGACCTGGACGATGGACGTCCATCGTCCAGGTTTTAGCATTTGTGCTGAAACCTGGACGATGGACGATTTTTATTTCGCTACAGCCGTTTCAACAAATTCAGTCTCCGGCTATCACTTTGTCACTATAACAGGCCTTAAAATATCCAGTTTTACAGGGCCGTCTGACAAAATGTCCGATGACGTTGAGTTTGGGTCGGACATATGTCCGATGACCTTCAGTTCAGTTTTGACTCGGAATGACACAAATGAATATCAGCACAATGTATTAATTCTAAACGGTAAATGTTGTGAAGATATTAAATAATTTGTGTCATTCATACTTATTCCCAAGCCAAAATTAACTTGCTTGCAAGAACAGAAGTAAGACTTCGACAACTTCAAACCCGTTTTCCACTTCACCATTTCGCTAGCACGTCGCCGCCCCGCGCTCGATCAGCCTACGTTAAAAAATTTCCATGCAGTTTACTTTTTATACAATACTCAATTGTCCTTTATTTTCCATTTACCATACGAGCCTTACTGCGGATTGATTTACGTTGGACAAAGCTACAGTTCGGTCGGACACCAATACACTCGGGTCGGACAAACAGTAAACCCCAGTTTCACTTATGTCGGACAGAATGTCCGGTGGCTTCCTCACTACGTCGGACAATTTCACGAATGGGTCGGACCAATCTCCGTGACCGACCGATATTTTAAAGGCCTGTCACTATACTATCAATTTGAGAGTTTGGGTAATGGTCGAGTGTCGAGGGTCATAGGTCGAGGGTCGAGGTTCGGAAGTCGAGGTCGAGGGTCAAAAGTCGAGGTCGAGGGTCAAAAGTTGAGGGTCGAAAGTCGAAAATACTAAATTTTTATCCATTTTAAAAGTTTTACAACCATTAAACGCGGCAAAACAATTAGTTTGGCTGTCAAAACTGAAACATTTCGCCTATAGCTATGCCGTATGGCTATGTACAGTAAAACTGAAAGTTTCGTTTGTGGAACTAAAAGTCTGATGCGAGGTTTGATGTTTGAAAGCATACATTTTACATTGGAGTTTAGAATATACAAACACGGACGATTATACAAAAATGGCGTTTCACTCTCATGAGAAACTGATTATAGCCTATAGGTAATATGTTATCTCTTGGACTTGGACTTGGACTTGGACTTGGACTTGGAGGCGAAAGAGTTCTGAAATTCTCAAAACTTCAACTTAACGATACTCTTCAAACCGCGTATGGTTTTGGAGGTTTAAAGCGTTAGGGACCAGATTTTGCTGCGCTGGGACCCAATTTGTTCTGATAGTACAATAAATACAATATATTTTCGATTCACCCCACCGGCACCGTACGTTCTCGAATAGTTTTAGTAATTTTACACTTTCTAAGGCATGTTCTGTACTAACAGTAATAAAGTTAGTTATCAGGAGAACCTTTAAAATTTTGACAACAAATGCCGAAAATGTAGTATTCTAGAAATGTTTATTAATAAAAAACTAATATTTCCCATTTTCGACCCTTGAATTTCGACTTTCGACCCTCGACTTCTGACCCTCGACCTCGACTTTTGACCCTCGACCTCGACTTTCGACCCTCGACCTATGACTCTCGACCCTCGACCTATGACCCTCGACCCTCGACCTATGACCCTCGACCCTCGACACTCGACCATTACCCAAACTCTCAATTTGACACACCTTAATGACCTTACTTACTTACTTACTGAAATTTGATTGACAGTTCATAAAAATAGAAATTATACAAATTTACAACATTTTAATCAATCTTTCAATAGACCTTTCCAAGGTTTCTACCGCCATATTGCAGGGGGTGCAAAAACATTGGGGCGAGCGCGCGGCAACCAATGGCGCCCATACTATTTCCTATTGAGTGAGTGAAAATTTCCTTTTGATATTTTGTCCTTTTTCTCAAAAAATTTCTATACAAGCATATCCAATTTTTATTTTTAGATAATCGCTGGGTTTTTTCCTGATATGTGGCCGAGATTTCTTGCTAATCGAAGGACAAGAAGTAATAAAAAACGGCGGCTTTTGTTGCACAACTTGACCGACGTTTGAGCGATGATTCTTGTTATTTCATTTGTTTAACCGATCTTTGGAAGAATATTTGTCCATTAAGTGTGTAAGTCCTTTGGTGTCCGCCATTATTACTGTTTATATTTGTATATTTGTACAAAAATCATCGCTCAAACGTCGGTCAAGTTGTACAATAAAAGCCGCCGTTTTTTATTACTTCCTGTCCTTCGATTAGCAAGAAATCTCGGCCACATATCAGAAAAACCCAGCGATTATCTAAAAATAAAAATTGGATATGCTTGTATAGAAATTTTTTGAGAAAAAGTACAAAATGTCAAAAGGTAATTTTCACTCACTCAATAGGAAATAGTATGGGCGCCATTGGTGGCCGCGCGCTCGCCCCAATGTTTTTACACCCCCTGCAATATGGTGGTAGAAACCTTGGAAAGGCCTATTCTCAACGCGGCCTGTTGATTATCGTAAATCTATTGTTCTACATTCGATATTTTCTGCATTTCCACGCAAACGAGAAAGAATGTTGGCTATTTTTGCGCTTTTTCATGTATATGATTAGCGTATCATCTTGCCACAAATCCAACGCTACTTTACACAAAAGCCATTGTTTGTTACAAGTATTGCAATATTAGTATTATTATTAATACACAGCGACATATACAATAAATGACAACAAAGTACAGGAGCGGAAGTGTGCGGGTTTTAGTGTTTTGAATTGCGGTATATTCTGCCTGTGAGTTTGTCCGTTTGTTAGTTTGTTCGCATCAAACGTTTTGTTAATCGCCTAGTAAAATTCCTTGCACGTGCTCGAAATTTATTCATTTTTGCAGAAAAATTAATTTATCTTGTACTCTCAGGATCGACTGTTTGCTAGGCTTTATCTCTAGTTTTATGGGCCAAACAAGGACAACAATACCACTGTTCGTATCAGCGTGAAAACTTGTATTTACGGATGGAAAATTGATTTCAAAATTGATTTCTATTCTTGCGATTTATGGCCTTTGAAGGACAAGCCGCTCAAAATAATCTTTCACGTTTTCCGAATTCCTTTTTTCGAGGAAAGTTTTCTTTCGAATTAATCTCGGACTCACACGAATGACTTTTTGCTGCGCCTTATCTCTGGTTTTATGCACCCAATAAGGACAAAAATACCACCGTTCGATTTAGCGTACGAAATTGTACTTACTACGGATGTCAAATGTATTACTAAACAACAGAATTCTAGCGATTTATGGCCTTTGGAAGTCAAGCGTGATTGCATTGACAAATTAATCGCTCGAAATTATTAAACTAATTAAAAATGCAGTACGTTCGATTCTTGGTAACTTTGGTATCGTTGGTTTTCTCGTTTTCAGCCGTATACCAGTCGATACGACTAATTTTTCTCGTCATTTTGATAGTATTTTGAGCCCAAGCTATTTTATTTTGAAGGTTTTAAAGTGCAGTTTTAATTATCGAAATTGTATTGTTGACAAATCGCTCAAAATTATTAAACTGATTAAAAATGCAGTACGTTTGATATAATATTGGTATACCAGTATATTCATCTCACTTTTCTCTTCATTTTGATAGTATTTCATGTGCTAAAACCTGGACGATGGACGTCTATCGTCCAGCTTCCATCGTCCAGTCCATCGTCCAGGTTTTAGCACATGCCGTAATGTATATGCAAAGGCAGAGCCAACTTGAGAAGAGCGAAAAGTGGGCGTATTTCGTTTCTTGATGTGTTTCCCTCCTTTCTCCCGAGGGACTGCTCGCGGTCTATGTTGCGGTCAAGTTTTGAAGATGCTCTCAACAGAAAAATACAACATTTAACTATTTATATATCAAACACAGAAAACAAGGTTTGATGAACAACAAACGAATAAGTTATTTGATGTGCGAAAATTAAATGTAAAATTACGAAACTGACAGTCTGGCATGATTGCCTGGACTTAGCTTGTTTCGTTTGATGCCAAACTTACATTCACTTCGCTACTTTCACTACTCATTTGAAACAAATGGGCTACTAAGAACGCCTTGCATGGGAGCTGAACTGTCCTTAATGTAAGGTGTTAATTAGTTAATAAGCTTTTAGCTACGGATCCAGAGTTCGTCTATAATAGGATTTACAAACAACTTCGATCATTTTGTTGGCCAGTAGGATCCTTAGAGATAGTAACAGGTCTTGAAATGAGCTGACTCGATATTGTACGGTGAATTGCAGCTCTTATAGCCGCCCATGTGCAACTTCGTGTTAGGTCTTTGTTTTGATTTGCCTTAACCTTGACATAAATAAAACCTCCAAAGAATAGCGATCAATTCCGTAGAGGGCAGATCACAATTGATTTGATCTCACCAGTCGTTAAACTTTTTAATTACCCACGTAGTTTGTTTTCTCGTGTTTTGGGATGTAGAATCTTCCTCGCGCCTTCGCAAATCATACTCATCCACCTGAGAAGACTGGGAATAGTTTTCTTCTTCTTACTCAAAACTTAACAAAAACATATAATAGTTTGTTTGTGGAAACACCACGTAAATTTATTACTGCAAATAGGGATAACAGCCAAAATTTCAAATTTACTGGGGGACTCCACAAGTAGGCTAGTTTGATAGAGCTCGTTATTTAAAACATAATGGTGTTTGTTTCATCAAAATCGGTCAAGGCAATCAAAAGTTACGGCAATTTGAATATCGGAATTTTAGTCCAATTTTTGGAAGAGCGACACTGTATAAATATATTACAGCTGGGTGTGAAATGTGGCACCAAAATGCTTGGTTTTAAGTGGATTTTTGAACATATTATGTCATAACTTTTAGACATTTCATCCAATCACCACAATATTTTCAGAGTACATTCGTGACATACAGAGCAACAACACAGTGTAACAGTTGGACACTTATCGTTGCCATGGAAACCGTATGACGTCATTGAAAGACAAAGAAAAAACACAAAAACTGAAATTAGATAATTTATTACTTTAAAACCATTACAAAAGTGTTGTATGACATGTTATACGTCAAATAAGCAATACTAGTTGATAAAATGTAACAAAACTGCGTTACCATGGATATATGATGACGTCATAATGACATCATCACGACGTCATAGCTATGAACAACATGCACTTAAAATACACATTTTTTCATCACAAAACATCAATTTTTAAAAACTAAGTGTGTGTTGGATAGCATCACATGCTCAACAACGCCACAGACAACACCATTCAGTTACCATGGTAACCATGTGACATCATTTTTATATATATATTCTTATTGGAAAATTTTGCATATCTTTGCTCAAAATTTACTTCAAATTAACTTATTGAAATATTTTGATGTTTCATTATTATACACCCTACCAATCCTAAACACTTGTTACATAGACGTTTCTGTGACAACACTACAAATCCGATGACATCTCAATTACGTCACTGATGATGTCATACTATTGTCATTGATGATGTCATTACTCATTTTGAGGAAGAAATCAATTATTTTTCAAGAAACATATTATTTACTGTAACACAAGTTTATCAAATTAAAGATACAGTTTCGACAACAAAATCTCCTGAGCTATATATCGAGCTGGACTGCTTGCTCATTTTTGGTCTATTGTCTACATACTGTCTCATTTAAGAAAGCCGTATAGGTTGAATGCATTGACACTTCTTATCCACGGTGTACTTTAAGTTGATAAATGATAATGTACACTATAAAAATGAAAAAATAATAGATTAGTCATCAGTTGAACTAATTAAAATTTCCAGTTTATCCTGAACAGTTCAGTTTACAGTTGGGTTTTCAGCACATTAGTAAAACACATAGCCAAGTTAGGTTGTCAACCCATGATTTTCCCATCCGCTCCCTTGTTTCACTTATCTCGGTTACCAACTTATTGGTTAAAATAATACAACAGGGGTCTTACCAACAACCTGCTGTTGTTATTACACTCGGTATATCATGCAATAACTGGTCAGTAATTCCAAGTCACAGACACTCTTGACTCATCGCCAACAGATGCCTGCTCGTGCTCTTTATAGAGCTGTAAAATAACTGGACAACTACCCTTTGGATGTTTTGTTTTGCAAGAATATTGACTACCTTTCATTTAAGGTTTTTAATATGCGCAGTGATAATTATATTAATAGGGTCAGGCTTCATTTCATCCTTTCCTCCTGGTTGTCCTCCAAACTACAGGTTGTTTCAATGATTTTATTAAATAAACAATAACATATTTTATTATTACCTTTCCATCACTAAAGTTTTTCATCGTTTTTAAGCAGGGCAATCAAATTTTCTTCTTCCCAATTTTGACAGTCCCACGAGCACATGTCCACGCACGCCATTGTAGCGAACTTGCAAAATTATCTAAATTCAAATGAATTTCCGCAAGTGAGCTCGATCGTTAAACAAAACAAATTATATATCAAAAGAAACCTTAAAACATATAGTTTATGTACATACCTGTCGTTGCAGACATTTTGCTTTATATTGAGTCGTATCTTGCTTTTCAAAATTAACTTTTCAAATACAAAGTCGTCTGCTCAAAAAGTTGAAGAACGACATAGTTCAGAAGAATCTTCAGGCTTTAAACTTTAAGGTGGTGCTATTTTAAACCTGCATTCAGGTCGGGCTCACTTGCGGAAAATCGTTTGAAGAGGGACGGGTAGGTGAGTAAATGCGTGCCGCGTGATTTTAATGGTGGCGAAATTGCAAATATGCCCGAACTTTGATGCTTCGTAACAAAATAACTACGGCACTTCAGGCTTCAAAAATACACTCATTTTGTAGATTGAGATCTACTTTGTTTTTAAAGATCAATTTTAAAACGATTTGTTTGCTCTCTTTTGCACAATAGCACACTGAAGGTAGCATATTTGAGAAAATATTAACCGGAAATTGAAGCTGTTCCAATGCGTAACCGACTTCCGGTTGCGATCCCTATCAGTGGGTATTATAATTGCCGATATATTCTTGAAATCATTTTGTTTCAATGCCTCTATATCGAAGTTTAATACACTAAAGTGACTAAACAAGTATAAACAGCAGAATTTAAATATAAATGCCTTCATGTATTATAAAATATATCACCAGACAGGTAGACAGGGCACACGGCACGACTACATCACTATACGAGAACGAAATAAAGCCATCCTTACCTGAATTATTCAAATATTGTCGATCATTCTTGCGCCAGAGACACAAAATAACACCGTGCTTTATTTACCCATTCATCTTCACAAATAGTACTCGGAATTTTTATGGAAATTCGCATTATTTTATGATTTTTATATTTCTGTCCGTTTATAACAGTCGCCATGTTGTGAACAAACCCCCCAGGGAACAAAAAAATAATATCAAAACAGCTAGTTTTGGCCCGTCCGTGGATGACAGAATGACATAAATCGAGATTGTAGCGGCTATAAACTCGGCGGTCACGTGGTAAGCACACCACGTGTAGAGATTAGTGTGCTGCCGAGCTACGCTCGGCAGCAACTAAATAATGTAAAAAAAACCGTTGGTCGCTACATTTAAACATTTCATATTAGCCGGTATAGCTAAACATTGTTTATTTTCATTAATTAAGCGCTTAGACGTTGTTGGAGTTGGCAGGAGGCGTTTTGGAATTTTCCGAGAGAACAGGCTACTTATGGAACACATCACACGATCGCATTACCGGTGTTTCATCCCTTCTATTAATATATATTACCCTCGCCTTCCGCTCACGCCCGCAATCCTTGCTGTTATTTTCGTTGGAACGTCATGTAATATTTTCGTTTTGTCAATTTATTCGCCATATTTGAACAATCGTTCGAATCAAGTGTTTCTGAGCGATTTTCTGAGCGTGTATAAGCGCCCTGTTAAAAGCTATTCACTGCAAATACAAGCTCTTATGATTTATACAAGTAAGTGCAATAATTTAAATATATTACGTTATGATGTTTTATTCATATTACGTTTAATTAATGTTTTATTCATATTCATAACACAGCTCTTAGTTGGACCCCCTGTGTCTAAACCGGGCCTAACTTAATTTAATATTAGCATTGATTACCGCTCCGGATGAAACATGTGTGATATTTTTGTCCGGGAAATTGTTTCAAAACATTTTATTCAACTGCGAGTTCGAAACAAAGATCGTCCTATATCACTAAAACTAACAATGTCCAATGAGGTTAGTTCTTGTTTTTCTAAAACATTTGTAATCCACCGTTCTTTACGAGCGAAATGACATATTACCGTACCTTGCAACGTACGCCAACGTAACGTATAAACAAACACGTTTTAGATCGCGCTTTAACCTTAATTGACGGATTTTCCCGCGCCAGTTTAATAGCACATTGATCGTCTTTGTCCTTCTGAAATAACTTCAATCAGCGCTTGAAAAAGCTTGATATGACGTTTAAATATACAAACGTAAACGTGATATCGATAATACCAAAAAATATCGATATTCCGATATGAAAATTCCAATATCGAGTAATCGGTATTTATACTGAAAAAACGATAATTATCGGTATATCGATATGCCGCAACAGCCTAAATTTGGAGGTCACCGATGTCTTTTACAAGTTAAATTACTGTAATTAAATTCAACCACCCACAAGTTCAGCGAATCTACCAGCATTTTTGTCAATGTGGCCATAGTTAATAGAGATGTGGCATAGCTAAAAAGATTCGTGCAAAATTTTGGCAGTTCATGGTATAGTTCGGTTTTAAATTTTTTGCGATTTACTGACGCACGACCCACGACGCACGACCCACGACGCACGACCCACCCACCCACGCCAAATAGACAATCTCTGAAAAGAACTAATGTCTATTAAAGCCGGTTTTCCACTAGCGAATTTTCTCGCGCGAAGCGACCTTTTTCCTTTGTCGGTATCACTTATTACGTCAGCAACAAATGGCAAAATGGATGTTGACAAAAGAAAAAGGTCGCTTCGCGCGAAAAAAATTTAATTCGCTAGTGGTAAACCAGCTTAACGCAAATATATTATTGTGACGTTCGTCATATCAAAGTAATATCAAATTTTGCTTTCCCGCAGTTTTACATAAACTGGAAATTACACTAAGCTGTCAATTATGTATATGCTCCATGTATATTTGTAAAGATAAAGATGCATTTGACATATTGTATAACAGTAACATACATGATCGATATGTTCATTATGGAGTATTGTTTACTTAAAAAACTTCTTAATAAAGTCCCTTTCAACATAGGTGCTCACCGTTGGCAAATGCATCCTTCTATCTTTGCTTAGCATGAACTTCTGTACAGCTGGTCTTGGGTCGTAAAGGGCAGTTGGGACACCATTCCAATAAATCAACAACCTGTCAACCAATGTCTTCTCTGAGGTTGCCGTCCTGAGATCCGAGAAAAGCATGTTGTAGGTTGACACAGACCTTTCTACAGTCATGCTGTGTGGTGAAACAACGCAGAAACATGACAGAAATTCTGTTACAGGAGGTTGGCTACCCCTCAACATGGAATACAGTCGCACACCATAATCGTGATTTAGGATTTCCTCGCTTGGCTTCATAGAGTCAAAATTCTCCAGCACCGCATTGATGAACTCTTCTTTATCTGTCACATTACATGAGACGAGAAGGGGAACAGATGCATTCACAAACTCGATCGCAGTCTTAGCCGTTGTTAAACTTATGATGTGCTTTACTACATCATTTTGTTCATCGTTCAGTCTGTTCTAAAGGGAAATATGAAAATAACTGAGTTAGAATAACCTGCATGCCAGAATATTCGTTATTCGAAAAGTCGTACTATAACTAAGAGATCTAGGGAATGAATTGAAAAGTTTAACTCAGACTGAAGTATTTGGAGTATGATTTGTAATGAAAAATGACAATATAATAATATCGTGATAATTCGTTGTACTCACTCTCAGATAGTTATTTGAAGATGCTACAATTTCAACTCGAATCGCTTCTTTGCTTCGACGAAATGTTGTCACCAGTGAATGGGCAGTTGCTCTTCGGTCATCAGTTCTGTTCTGCTCTCCCGCCGAGTTCAGTTTTTCCTCCACTTGCTCTTCCTGTCCACCTGTATTGCAGTAAGCAATAATTAAAACTCTACTACTTATTGCCGGAATCGTAAATTTAACATTTAACAAATTATATTGTACTGTATTATATTAAACAAACCGTGATGTCGTAATTACCTGGGTATGGTTTAACATCCATGAGCTCCAACTTTTGCACTGCCACATCTACGTACCTCAAGATATCAGGAAGGATGATGTCTTTTTTCTGGCATTCTTTTTCTACGTACCTGAATACGGAGCAGATATCTACCATGAGGGCAGTAAGCCAGGTTTGAATACTTGAAGGGTGCCAATTCTTCAGGAATCCTCTTGCCTTGTCTTTCTCTTTCCTGTCGTATTCTCCGCTTGTTGCATCAACAATTTTCTGCCAATGAAGGCGACAACCGTCAAGATTGCTCAGGACTGCTTCGCACAGTTGTATTAGATGCTGTGCAAACCTAACTTCGTGATGAGCTGGGAAGGACTTCATCTTTGGAATTATGCTCTTGAGCTCTTTAGTGCGGAGGCCAGAAGTGCGGTAATACGTTGAGACGGCTACTACGTTAGAATTCCAAATTTTTAACTCTGGAACAGATCGAATGACGTCTTCCATGGCTAAATCCGACCTGTGACAAGCACACCAAAAATTGAAAGTAGGGTGGCCAACATACTCCTCCATTCGTGCCCAAAGACCAGAATTCCGACCTGTGTTTGCCGACTCGCCATCTGTTGTAACTCCGGAGTAGCTCGCGCGAATGTGTGTATCAGTCAAGCCGATATCTTTCAAAGAACTAATGACAGCATCACATAGTCCTTCAGCACCACGTTTCTCAACTTCCTTTGCACTTACAAGACGTGTTTGGATGGAAAGAGGAGAGGATCTATCATTGTAGCGTACAAAGACAAACTTCTTATCTTGTTGCTTCGTATCTACCGATCCATCGACCTGAACGGCAAAACGAAGGCAGTTCTGCAATTCTTCTTTCAATTTTTCTCTTTCCATGTCTCCTTCGATATGCAAAATTTCTGCATAGTGGACAGGATCACGGTAGTGTAAATCTACTGCAGTTGGTTGAAACTGAGAAAATGCCGCATCACCATCAGTATTCCCATAAATCTTGAACTGCGTGTCCGCATGAAGTTGAGCTAAAGATCGCGACGGCCAGGAGCTGGCGGCAGGGGTGAGGAGTTTGCTGTCATTGTAAACATCGACCGCCATGTGAATCAGTGTCTGTATTACATTTGGATCATTACTCTTTAGGGTGCGCAACCAAGGGTGATTCACAGAATTGTTTGACCATTGAGTGGAGAGCTTTTTCATTTCCAATGCAGCAGCATGAGATGCCCCATGCAGATGATCTACAATATCTTGCAGGGTTTTTTTTCCGTCACAGCGGACACCATCAGCCAAGTAGACTCTATTGTTCCCAGCATAACGTTTGGCCTCTTCTTCAAATTCAGAACAAACGAGACATTTTACCATGCACCTTGTTTTTGCATGTTCTGCACTTCCCTTTCGCGTTCTCTCTTTGTAAATGTAAAGGATACCAGGTCCTATCTTTTTGTTGATAGCGTTTATATCCAGCTGGAATCCTCTGTACAAATAAACCTGGCTTTGAGTTTGGTTTTGGGGTGACTGGGGCCGACCATTTGAACCACTTTCATCCTGTTCGTTTTCACATTCCCCAATTTCCACTGAATCTGAATTGTTGCTGGATGTAAAACAGGTTTGTTTGCCTTGCTGAGTAACAGGACAGTCGGAAGTGTTATCGAATATGTTGCCAGTATTCTCTTCCAAATCAGAACTCGAACTCTCGGTAGCAACGTCGCTAGTTTCTTCTGCTAATGATGAGCTTAAGGAAGGATCTCCTTTCTCACATGCCTCACCACTACTTCTTTTTGGGAAAAACGTATTTATTTTTTGGCACTTACTTGCTTCTTTTTTTAACTTTTTTTCTTTTTCTAATCTTCGTTTTGTTGCATAAGGCATCACGGAAAAAGTTTTTTCGATTCACTAAATATGTTTTTTAGGGCCAGACTACATTTCACAATACAAAACTTTTATTTAATGAAAAAAAAACAAAATGGCCGCCACAAAAAAACTCATGTCCAGGCCCCGCGACCCATCATCCTATGAGCTCTCTGGAACATCCCGCACATACTTTGTCATGTATGTAGAATGTTATCATTGTCATGAAATTAATTATCTAAACGTTGATTCTTAATGACAGCCCCGACCGCAAAATTTTAGGAAATTCATCAAGGTGATGAAGCTATATTTGCCTATTTCAGCCGTTTTTGTGCTCGACAAATAATATTAGAGGAATTATATTCAACAAAGGTTGGGTTACAGAATATCATTTTTGTCAATATCTTTTAAAAAAGGGATTTCCTCTGGGGGGGCCAAAATAGTTAACTGGGGGGGCCAACATGGGGGCTGGGGGGGGCCTTGGCCCCCCCAGTCTATATGTTAAAAAATGCCCTGGCATTCGCATAAAATATTTACAGGAAGAGAAATATTTTTCCTGGCAAATATTTTGCTGACCCAACCATTAAAAAGTAAAAAAAAATTATTACCCAACCTCAAATATCAATTAAAAAATAAATACCCACCCCTGGCCAAAAAATTTACAAAATGTACCATTCAGTTGTCACATATGTCCTTTACCACTTTTGTGACATAAGTTTGATAACGGTGTTGAAAACGATCGAAATCGACTGTTTAAAGTAACTTTTTTGTTGTATTTTAATCACAAGTTTCACAGAAATACAGATATATAAATCACAACGATCGCAAGTTTTTCTCTCTACATGTCACGCCATGTGGGGTCACGCCATATCACGTGATTTCCGGTTACCTTATATGAATGTAAAATGAAGTTTCCGACACTCTCCCCTCATAAATTGTGAAATAGTTTATGTCCTATTGAGGAGACTTCACCTATTAGAAGTTATTAACTAAACAACAACAGTTATATTATATGAGTCAATGACTCAATGCTTGATATGAACGTTTTCATTGTATCTAAAGTTTGAGCTTAAAGTTCATCATCTTCTTCATCTTGCACAGTCTGCCTTATTCTCTCTCGAGCCGCGATTGCCTCTCGTCTCTTCGGTCTGAATTCTCTCGCATCCGCGTTCAAGTCACTGAGTGGGCACATCTTCGGTATGTCAACGGACAATTCGAGTGGATATAGATGTTGTGTTGGCCTCTCGAGAAAACTTTTGCCTGCACGTAGTTTAACAGCCCGCACCACCCCGTCTCGACCTGGAAACAGTTCGGTAACAATACCCAAGGGCCATTTTCCCCGATTCCTGTCGTCACTCTTTATTATCACTATATCTCCAACCGATAACTTGGACTGCTTGACTTTATGGGTAAGGTTATGTCTTTCTCGTAATCCACGTAAATATTCGTTCGACCATCGCTTCCACATCGCGTTTTTGCATTTCCGTAGGTACTTTGCTCTCTTCCTTAGGTCAATCTCTTCGCAATGATGTGGCTGTGCTTCTGGTATGGCATTGGTCTGATGGAACATCAAAGTATTCGGTGTAAGAACAGGAAATTGCAGATCGTCTTCCACGTAGCTCAGTGGTCTATCATTCAAGCACACCTCCACGTCGAGCAGCACCTCTTCGAGTTCCTTCCAGGACAGAAGACCGTTTCCGATAGTTTTGTGTAGAGCTTTCTTCACGAGACCAACCATTCGCTCAAATTGACCGCCCCACCAAGGGGCGCGGCTCAAATTGAACTGCCAGACGATTTTGTTCTCTGCAAGGTAGTGGTTGAATTTCTCGTCGTTGCTCACTTTTCTTAGCCAATTAGCCGCCCCAACGAATGTGGTCCCATTGTCGGAGTATATCTTTTGTGGTCGTCCTTTTCTCGCAATAAATCTCTTTAGACTTAACAGAAATTCTTGGGTTTCGAGAGATGTCATCAGATCTAGGTACAACGCACGACACAAAGAACAGGTGTATACAGCTATATAGGCTTTCCCTTCGACTTTCGCTCTTTTCTTATAACGGATGGGCCCAGCGTAGTCTACGCCAATAACTTGGAATGGATGTGTTCCTCGTGTCCGATCTTCGGGCAAGTTGCCAGGAGGGGGGTCCGCCACAGCCCGGGCTTGGAACCTTCGACATCCGTGGCACTCTTTCACAGTTCTTTTGACAAGTCTCCGTAAACGTGGAACCCAGTGATCCTTTCTCACGCTCGTCATCGTCAGCTGGACTCCCCCATGAAGAGTGCGCAAATGCTCTCGTTGCACCAACTTCTTCGTGTATGGATGAGAATCTGGGAGATAGATTGGGTACTCGCCTTGAACTCGGCCTCGACACTGAAGAATCCCCTGTTCATTTGGTTGAAGGTTAAGTCGTAAACGATCTTCCTCGTTGTCGTTGCTTTGTTGCGCTCGTTTGATCCAAAAACTATGCTGCGACATTAGTTCCTCGGTTGTTAGTGGACCTTGGATGACGTCGTTGGGATGTTGGCTGTTGTAAATGAATCTCGCTATCCATGCCATGATTCTTATTGCTTTAGTCAGTTCGTAATGCTCAAGGATAAGATCTAGCTGGTCGGGGTTGGTTTCTGTAGCTACTGCGAAAATTTCTCTAGTTACTCTTGCTTCTTCTTGGCTCTCTGCAGATGACTGACTTACAATATCTTGTGGCCAATTCTCGGGGTTGGCCATCCATTCAGGACCATTCCACCACAGCTCCTTGTGTTGAACATCACCACCCCTGCTCGCCAGGTCTGCTGGGTTTTCTTCCGTGGGGACGTGTCTCCATTTGATCTCTGGTTTTGCTTGAATCTTTCGGACACGATTCTCGACAAACTGTTTGTACTGTCCCCCACCTCTGATCCAATGAAGGACAACTGAACTGTCCGTCCACCCACAAATATCTGTAACAGGGAAACCATTCAGAGCCACCTTGACATTGGTAAGGAGATTTGTCACCATATGAGCTGCCACCAATTCCAATCGGGGAATGGTAAGTCCCTTCTTCGCTAACCTCGCTTTCGCTGCCACGAGACGTTGTGTAACACCTGATTCTTGACTTACAACTGCGAATGCTGTTGCTCCTACACCGTCACCACTTGCATCGCCGAAACCATGTAACTGAATGTACTGTATCGGTTGTTTGTATGCCGCTAACGATCTAGGCACGTTAACTTGCTGGGGAAGACGGCGTTCCCACTTCTTCCATGCACGTTTCAATTCGGTCGGTAACTGCTTGTCCCAGGCAAGCTTCTGGTCACAAATGGCTCGGTACAACAGTTTTCCTTGCAAGGTAAGAGGGGAAACGAGTCCGAGGGGGTCATATATACTTGCAAGCTTGCTCAGCACACCTCGTTTCGTTTCTTCAACTTTATCCTCTGGAAAGGAGACGCTTATCTCATCACATTTCTTGTTCCAGCCAAGACCCAACAAACTTGAATCTGCCCCATCAGGCTTTCCCAGTTGCTGCTTAGCGAACGTTTCTTCCTCACTAGTTGACAAATCCGGATGATCCTCGAGTTCAGCTTCATTCGAGTGCCATTTGTGTAGAGTAAATGTAGCATCTTCAAAGATCTCAACCGCTTGCTGCTTGACTTCATGTGCTTCTTCTACCGTAACTCCACCACTCAAGAGGTCGTCTACGTAAAGACTCTTGCGCAACTCTGCAACAGCCTCTGGCATACGAGATTCCCAGTTATCTAGATGCTGTTCGATCACCCCTCCTAACAAGAAGGGTGATGAAGTCAGCCCAAACATAACCCGTGTAAACCGTAAAGTTTCAAGTTCTGAATGTTCTCCGGGTTGCCAGTGGAACCTCAAGGCGTCACGGTCTTCCTCTTTCACACGCACTTGCAAGAATGCTTTCTTTAAGTCTCCATTGACTGCTACAGGATGAGCTCTCGATCTGACCAGAACGTTCCACATGTTGTTTTGCAGCACAGGACCAGGATTCAGACAGTCATTAAGTGAGACATCATCTGCATGGGCTTTCGCACTGGCATCGTACACTATGCGGAGCTTGGTTGTCTCGGCATTCTCTTTCACAACGGGCTTATGCGGTATGTAGAATTCCACTCCCTTCGCTCGATCATTTGCTGGTTCTACCACGCCTTCCGCTTTTTGCTCTTCGATCTTCGCAGTATACGCTTCATCCATCCCAGATTTCTGCAACTTACGCTTCAGGTTTCGCAACCGACACAAACTACCCTGTTCATTAGTTGGTAAGGGAGGGTGGTTACCCCTCCAGGGCAGTCCTGTTTCATACCAACCTGCCTCATTACGGATCAATTGCTCTCGGAACTCAGCATACACTTCCTTCTGGTCTTGTTGTGGCGAATCAGCTAGCCCCAAAACATCAAGTCGGCATAACTCATCATATTCAACATGGTTGGTTTGCGTCAAAAGCACCCGAGTAGTCACCGATTCTTCGCCTGGTGATAGAATAAACCATCCAAGTTTTGTATGTTCTGCAACAGGGTCACCTTGTTTCCCGATACGAGGTCTGGAATCCGTTTTGATCTTTGCGAAAACTCCGGCTCCTAATATTACATGCACTGGGAGATAGGGTTTAGTGTCATAGTCGTCCATTTTCACACCTTTCAAATGAGAATAGGACTCAATTAGTTCCTTGTACTGCGGGTTCTCTACTTCGAGTAGTGTTCCCTTATTAACTTTGATTAGATCCACTTCTAACTCATAATCACCTGATTTAGAAGAGATAGTTGAATTGTGTATCTCCATTCTTGTTGTAGTAGAAGCCATCAACATTTCCACTTTCTTGTATTTCACTTCGGTTGGTTTCTTCCCTAATGAATCAAGCAACTTTGACGAGGCATAACAACTTGCAGCACCAGAGTCAACCAAGGCACGACACTCAACACCGTCAACTTTTATCACAACAATAGGGTGAATAACCTTGTCGCCATCACATGTTGACATCATATTCTCTCCGTCCGGTTTCTTTGTTTCACAAATAGAAGTATGATGACGCTTAGAACATAATTGACAACCAGTAGTACTCTTGCAGTCAGCTGCCCTATGTCTTGGGCCTGTACAGTTAAAACAGAGTTTTTTCTCTGCCAAAATCTTCTTCCTTTCTCTTGGTGATGCAAACCGCTGACATTGAATTCCTTTGTGTGAAGGCTCGCCACAGTAAACACACCCCCTCACCTCATGGTGTTGTGTATTGTACACCTTGGTGTTACGCTTTCGATACTTGTCTTCTTTCTCTATGGGATTTCTACGTGTCCAAGAACGCAGTGCTTCGCAGAGCTTTACAAAATCCCACTCTTGCCACTCATCATCATGGCTGACAAGATCACTCCGAATACCCGACAATTTGTCCAGAGTAAGTGGTACATTTCCATTCACCCTTTCTAGTTTACCCATGGTCTCCAGGGATTGCACATCATACACTAACCGTTCGTAAAACTGGTGGACTTGTATCGGGTCAGCCTCCCTGACAGTTGGTAAATCAATAATATCTTTCACATAAGCTTTCACTATTTCACTCTCTTTGCCATATCTTTCCTCGAGAATACTTTTTGCCCTATTATAGCCTTCGACTGTGAATGGTAACCCGTCAATACTCTTTCGCACTTTCGGTTCAACAAATTCTTTTAAATAAGAGAATTTAGTAATGGGTGCCATACCTGATTTGTCGATCTCTTCAGTGAATTGGTTCCAAAATCTGTTCCAATCAATGTATTCACCATTGAATTTAGTAATACTGAGTTTTGGAAGCTTCGCCGTTAGGGCTTTCTCAGTACTTGGGTTTTCCAGGGGGGTTGACTTCTTCAATTCCATCTCTTTGAAGTGAAGTTTCTGTTCGAAAAGTTCTCGTTCAAACTCGATTTGTTGCTTTCGACCCTTGTCAATTTCTGCTTGCTCAACTTCATCTAAACAATTTGACAAATAAACAATGTCCTCATCGACAACTGCAATCTGGCTCTCCACGTCTTTACTCCATGTTGTAATATCCTCGACTTTCTCCCCCCCGGCGATCTTGATTTCTTCGAGTGTTGTTCTCGCTTTTTCAGCCGCATTTCCCAACGTTTGCAATGTATTCTTTTGTCGCTCGATACGACTTTTTATCCCACTTGATCCAATGTCTTTGGTTTTATCTCTAGTTATTTGTAGCTGCGTAAGTTTCGTCGCAAGATTTTGCTTCGCAGTTTCCATATTAATATTCGCACAATGTTGTTATTGTAATACGATACTTTAAAACCCGTCGATTTCCCTTTGGTTCTTGCTCTTGTTCGAGCTAAAATCACGTTATATCCTGCCGGGGTCGCCAAGTGTTGAAAACGATCGAAATCGACTGTTTAAAGTAACTTTTTTGTTGTATTTTAATCACAAGTTTCACAGAAATACAGATATATAAATCACAACGATCGCAAGTTTTTCTCTCTACATGTCACGCCATGTGGGGTCACGCCATATCACGTGATTTCCGGTTACCTTATATGAATGTAAAATGAAGTTTCCGACAACGGATTGTGAAATTTTCTGCAGTCTAAAGTTTCATGTTGTCTGCACATGTACTTTCTTTGGAGATCCCATCGGAAATTGATCAAGATAGTGACTCTGATTGATTCACATATTGTATTGACATATGACAGCCTACTCTGGGGTGGTAACTTGCCTTAAATCGCTGGTCAAAATTGACCAAAGTTCTCTTATTAACCTCCTAAAACTGCCTAAACGCATAATAATTAAATCGGCAACAGGAAAGTATATATATATACATATAAAATCAAAATGATGCAACCTGGATAGTGGATTAAGTTGACTACTGTAGGCACAATTTTCGGCCACTTAATAGTCAAAGGTCATGCATAAATAAGAACAGTCTTTAATATTACCGCCTTATGGATACTTTATATCAATTGTGCTACTCTAGGATCTAAAAGACCCATAGGTCCCAATCCCATACTCGACTAGCAACATAATCAAGTTAGTTATATTAATTCATTATATAAGGTCAATGTTAAAGGCAAGGTGGGCCACAAGCTATAATCATTTGTATGGTTTATAGAAGGCTAATTGCTGTGAATAAATTGAATAATGAATGTAGCACAATATTAAATAGTTGCATGATGACGTCAAAGAGACTAGTCAGACTACATTTGCAAGTTTTGCAACTCTCATCGCTTAAATTCCCCATACCTGAATACAAAATAAACAGTAAACAACAATTACCTTTTACATACCATACATAAAACGGAGTTTTCATCCTTTCTAGAAACTCACTTCCTGAACTTTTGAGCGCAAATATATTAAATGTAAACAGGGTGAAATTTAAATGTATTAAAAATGTATATCATATTCACGGCGGTTAATACCATTAATATATCGCGGGCACAATACAAAACACAAGAACTTTAAAATGTTTTGATTTGCAAATAAATAAATAATATTTGATGTCGTAAAAATTTTAAAATTTAACTCAACACAAACTGGTAAGTTCATGACATGTATAATTTACTTATATGTTGCTATATTGCAATTCTGTACCCTACTCCTTTGAAAATTGTTGGCAATTGCATATGATGTGGTCATGTATTATAGTTGTGTCATGAATTTAATAATACTCCAATAGCTTCGAAATAGACAATAGATGAAAAAAGTCATGAATATTGAGCATATTTACCCTTTAAACACTTGATCGTCATGTGCATACAGTGTATTGTTTGTTTCCAGAACCCCCTCAAGCAGACTTCAACTTTTCTTGTCAAATTGTATATTTTGTTTCATACACTGCATGTGTGTGTGTTTGTGGGAACACTCATGTTTGAGGGCCCCCTATACTTTTTGCGTGAAGCGTGAAGGGCTTATTTTACTTAGCCGTGAAACGTGATCGGGCCCCCTATACTTTTTGCGTGAAGCGTGAAGCGTGAAGGGCTTATTTTACTTAGCCGTGAAACGTGATCGATGATTTTCTTAATCCGTGACTCGTGAAAAGACAAAATATTTTTACGTGAAAGCATATTGTGAAGAGGTATAGGGGGCCCTCATGTTTGGATGCTTGGCATAGGTTAATGGTAATTTCATTGGAGTCATCAGGGATATAGTTGTATATTCCTGAAATTACCTCTAAACACCTAAAACAGCATTCCCTAAAATTTTAATTGTTTTCTTAAATAACCCTATATCGCTCAAACTTGCATGCGCATCGCTTAAAAATTGCAGATTTTGCTTAAATCACCTAAAATTGCTTAAACTCACATTATCTCATTATCACCCCAGAATAGGGCTAGCTACTGTTGCCATTACTTTTTAGTCTCCAATACTTCAGCGAGTCATGCTTTGGAAATGACAATATTTTTTTATTACCCAACCCTTGAGTTGTTTTGTTTTTCATTTACCCAACCTTTTACTTACTCAAAATTTAGCTTACCCAACCCTTTTCTCTTCGGTGCCACCCCCCACCATAAATAATGACCGGTCCCT